GAGAGAGAGAGAGAGAGAGAGAGAGAGAGAGAGAGAGAGAGAGAGAGAGAGTGTGTGTGTGTGTGTGTGTGTGTGTGTGTGTTTCTAAAAATAAATCCATATTTCACAAAAATTCTCGCCTATGTTCAGGCCTTTCTTTATTGAGAAAAAAGACGATTTGAAAAAACATTGACTCCACATAATACTTTAGTAACTTTCAAAGAAGATATTGAACAAGTTCAATATTTAAACGTTACTGTTGACATACTTTGAGCACGAATTGCACGAGCATGAATATCAACCCAACGAACTTATTTGAATGATTTGACATCTTGCCCGAGACACAAAATGTAAAGTTAGTTGAGGCACTTTGGAGACCGAAAACAACTATATTTTTCCAACTAGGTAAGGGTTGACCGGTAAAAAATATAAAAACGCAGGGTGTAGTATTGCTCACTGAATACAATGGCGCGGTGGAGCAGCGTGTGTCATCACCCGTGAACTCGTCTGCTTCGGTCAAGTCAACCTTAGAGCAGTTGGCCGAACTGTTCTCACACGAAAGAGGAGGTTTGTCTACGCCTGCCGACTTATCCTGCAGTTGTGACGAAGCTGGTGCTTCTTGAGTTTTGAAGGTCTCCTGGTTTGGAAAACGCACATTGTACCGCAATTTTGGTGTCCCCGATGCCCAGCCAAAGTACTCTAAATAAAAGGCTACAGCTGCATAGAAAACGTCAACGTAACTCTCTCTCGTCATTGGGAACAAACCTGCCATCTCAAAAGAATAGACATTGTTCATTCCGTTCAGCCCAGCGTCTATTATTATCTGCGGTTTGAACCCGTATATTACAGCTGATGGGTACTTGTGCTGAAAAACACACTTTAAAAACTCGTTGAATCGTGAGTTGAAAAGTGTTTCCTTGCTCAGTGCCGTTGGATCACGCACAGCGCCTGCGATAGCTGTCATTTGGGGTGGCGCTTTTATCACAAAACTTAAGTTAACCGAAAACAGGCATTGTCCATTGACCCGCTCAATTTCTTCCCCATTACAATGAACCTGTTGACATTTCTGCCCCGGCTCACTTCCGCATTCAGTATGGAGCCATCTCTTGCCAAACTTGATACTGTTTCTTTTCAAGTGAATGCGGTTGTTGTCGTCTACATCAAGCAGTATGGCGAACAGGAACGATTTTCGGCCTGATGTTTTTGGCTCGCAAGAACGTGATTTTCTAGGGCCAGACGGGTAGATATAAAATCTGGAGAGAAAAAAGAGATATCTGTTACCCCCTCCTTTTCCTCTTCCTCCTCCTCTTCTTCCTCCTCTTTCTCCTCCATCTCCCACCCTCACCACTCTTCCTCCTCCAGGAATGACACGTAGTCAAGTATGTTTCAAAATTCTAAAGGCATCTCTTAAGAAACAAGTGAAAATAGATTGATAAATAGATAGATCGATCGACCGAGAGAGAGAGAGAGAGATAGAGAGAGAGAGAGAGAGAAAGAGAG